AAAATGAAAGTTGTGCAATAATCAACAGAATCAATTGAATAATAATTTTATCTATAACACTATTTGACTATGAGGGTTTAATGACTAGTCATTTACTAGCATAAACTCTTATGCAATTTTTTTTTTAAAATTGACTTGTTTTTTTATTATATTTTTATAAAAATTATCCAAATACTACAATAATCAATAATGTCAATATAATAATAGTTTTATTTTTGACGTTACTTGATTGTAAGAATTTAATGACTAACTATTTGTTAGTTTAAATTCTTTGACAAGGATAATATTTTAAAAAAATAAAAGTTGCTTTCTTTTAACAAAATATTTAAAAATAAAATAAGTAGTAATCAATAGCATCGATTAAATAATAATTTTATCTTTGAAGTTATTTGACTGAGAGTTTAATAATTATTAATTTGCTACCTCAAATTCTTATGCAATTTTTTTAAAATAAAAATAAAGTTTGAAAGTTATTATTTTAAGAGTTAATTATCTATACACTGTCAGTGTAAATTTTTTTTACACTAACAACCAATTATATCTCTTAATTGTGTCATGACACTGTAAATACATTTGACATAACACAATTAAGAGATATAATTGGTTGTCAGTGTAAAAAAAAACTTTACACTAACCGTGTATAGGTGATTAATTCTTATTTTAATATAATAATTTTTTTTCGATAACATTAATTGAATAACAATTCTATCTTTAATATTGCAAGAATTTATTGATTAGCTATTTGATAACTTAAAATCTTTTAAAAGCTCTCATTTTATATTAAAAAAAACTTATTACATGAGAATTATTTAATCAAAAGGGATAAAAAAATATATTCATCTTCACCATATGGCTAACAACTTAGCAACTTAATCAACTATAGTATCATACAACTTTTTCAACCATCAACTCACAACTTAGCAACATAAATATCACTACACATTATTTCAACTCAATGCACAATGAACCATCTTCATACAACATTGATCATGTAAACAAATAATCATCCTCCAATTATAAACAACTTAAAACATCTCATAAATTATACAACTCACTTGTGGTGCCATCCCTTGGATGCGTGGGTTATTGAGCCATGGGACTTCTTGTCTTGCCCATGCCTAACATCAAACTCCCCACACCTAGCGTAGCAAAATCCATGCCCAATCTTAATAAGGTAGAGGGTCCCTATCTAACTCATGTCGACGTCACTCCATTGGCGTCTGATGTCAATTCAAGCAGAAACGATTCTTTCTCCTCACCAACAATCACCTTGGATTAACTAAATGGAGGGATTAAAAAAGGGTCATTAGTAGAAAAAGGGAGAAGAAACATTCAACTTTCAAAGAACTCCTCTCTAAAATTCCTTAAAACATAAACTTATGGGTTTCATGTCTCAAGAACAACCTTATTTAAGTTGAACAAACTTAACTCTGACTTAACTACTTTAGAGACTACTTAACTCTTCAGCACCTCTTGACCTTGAAAGTTATAAAACAACCTCTTGACCTTCAAAGTTATAAAATAATATCACTGACAATAACTTACAATTTAGTCATATATCATACATATAATTAAATTAAGCACCCCAAAATAAAATAGTGTTACACTCTTTATGATGCAACTTAAATAGATTACAATCAAGATTTAAGAGATTAAAGATTCAACTTCCCATATAATTGATTACAACAATTCACAGTTGGTTAAAAAAGTTAATGCATATTATGTTGGAGGTTGAAAATAATTGATTAAACCATTCATGTAATTGGTTAAACCCTTTTATGAAATGTAAATTTTCATGTTCATGTATAACTACATGTATAGTCTTACATTTTGAACTGGTATAGTCTTACATTTTGAACCGATATAATAGTAATCTCATTTTTCATAATCTAATTTCTTAAAAAAAAAACTTATAATATTATTTCTCTTAAATTTACTTTTTATTTCACCTTTTTATTCTTTTCACATTTTTTTCTTCACTTTACACATTGATTTCCTTATACCTAAACACAGTGTTATATAACAAATAATATTACAAGACAAAACAATACACGGTTAAATTGTACTTAAAATTTTGCAATACTTTATATTTAGAATTACATAGTACAACATATGATACTGTATAAGATGATATTAAATTATATTTATTAACATAATATATAATGTTATATTTTGTGCAAGAAGGGAAAAAATCGCTAAGAAAATATTATCTATAACAATAAATAAAAACGATATAATGTTTTCGTATACATATTTTTATTCTTTAATAACCACATATCCTTTTCTTTTAGTTTAGAATAAATCAGTAAATTTATTTACTCAAAATGATTTTTTCTTCAATAAATTTATCTTCTATATGCATAATATTTTACAAGATATAGAGTGTCTTTGTTTTGCTAGTTTTAATAAATTTGTTAAAATATATAGTTTACATATATTTTTATCTTAAAATGATCGATAGAAATAAAAAAAACTTTAAATTTTAAAGGATGAAAAAAAAAATAAAAATATTTTACATATATACAAATACAAATAATGTTTATAACTTTAAAATATGAAAAATAAAAATTACAAAATCAAAGTTTATTTTTTTACATAATGGATTAAAAAGATAGATAATTAGATATTAACTTTTGCTTTAACGAGGGAACTTACTTTAAGGCAGACAAATTCCCATTTGCTTTAATATTTTCGTGGTCAGTGGTCAATGCTACATTCATTCCTTTTTTAATTTTAATTTTATTTTTAAATTTTTTATGAAAGGGGGAAAACACTCCAACCACAAACATAAATGCAGCATCCTCCTACTTCTAACAGTCAATTGCAGCATTTTCGAAACAAAATTGAGAGACAGGCATGTTTGCCATCTCATTTTCTAGATCTTATACATTTTATTTTGTTCCAAGCTCTTATTTTTGGTCTCTGTGTCTGTCTTTATCTATTTTATTATTATTATTTTTTTAAAAAACTGCTCTATATCTAATGTTGGTTCACTTCATAATGGGGGTTAATGTTATTTTTCGCTAAGTTAACACTCTTATTATTTATTTATTTTTGGAAAAAATATGTTTATGTTGCGTTTTAATAATCCACATTTTCTGTTTCCATTTATAACACATTAGAAATACAATTTTATTGTGTATTTTATCAATATTTTGTCAAGAAGCGCAATAAAACATATTTTCATTAAGTATTGATCAATATACACAATTAAAATATTCTTTTATGGTATATTTCAACAATATATCATGAAAAGATGCACAACAATATCTTAGTTTTATATCTTGTCTTTTGTCAAGATACGCAACGGAAACATATTTTCATTGTATATCTGGATAAAATATTGTCAAATTACATAGTGAAAACGTATTTTTGTAAAATAAAAAGAGTGTAATCTTAACAAAAAAAAAATGATATGAAAATAGCAAAGTCTTTCCAAATGTTGTACAACTACAAATTGGGCCCGGTGAGTGTGAGACCTTTATTTTCAGCAGGGCCCATCTTATTAACCAAATAATGATACGTCCAATAATATTTCCT